GCACTCCAGCCTGGGCAACGGAGCAAGACGCCGTCTCAAAAAAAAAAAAAAGAAGAGGAAAGGAAATAAAATCTTCATTGTCCAAAGAACATACACAAACGACCAAGAAGAACAGGAAAAGATGTTCAAGTCATTAGTCATTAGGGAAATGCTAATCAAGCCCACACTGAGATACTACTTCACACCCGCTAGGATTGCTGCACTGAAAAAAATGGACAATAATACGTGCCAGCAAAGAAGTGAAGAAATTGAAACCCTCATAAATTGCCATTGGGAATGTAAAACGATGCAGCTGCTTTGGAAGATAGTTTGTCAGTTCCTCAAAAAGTTAAACATAGAACTATCTTATGACTCAGCAATTCTCCTCCTAGGTATATAACCAAGAGAAATGAAAACATATGTCTATGCAAAAACGTGTATAGAAATGTCCACAACAGTATTGCTCGTCATAGCCAAAATGTAGAGACAGCCCAAATATCCATCAATCGATGAATGGATAAACAAAATGTGGAACAGCCTTACAATGACCAATGATTGGGCAATAAAAAGGAATGAAGTGCTGACACATGCTACAACATGTGAACCTCAGAACAATCCGCCAAGTGAAAGACACCAGACACATACAAAAGGAAGACACATATTGTATGGTCTCATTTGTGTGAAATGTCCAGAATAACAAATCTGTAGAAACATAAAGTAGATTAATGATTGCCAGGAGCTGGGGAAAGAGGTGAATGGAGAGCGGCTGCTAACGGGTACTTGGTTTCTTTTCGGGGTGACAAAAATATTTTGGAATTAGATAGTAGTGATGGTTGTACAACTTCGTGAACGTACTAAAAACCACTGAATTGCATTTATGGCTGTAATTGTAAAAGGGTGAACTTAATGGTACATGAATCACATCTCAATGATAATAATTTTTAAAATCATTAGAATAAATGGGGCACCAGAGCCACTGCCCATTTATTCTAATGACTTTAACGATTTATGCCTGTAATCCCAGCATTTTGGGAGGCCAAGGTGGGAGCATTGCTTGAGGCCAAGAGTTCAAGACCAGCCTGGCAACATAGCAGGACTACATCTCTAAAAATAAAACTAAAATTTCAGGCTGGATATGGCAGCTCATGCCTATAATTCCAGCACTTCGGGAGGCTGAGGTGGGAGGATTGCTTGAGCCCAGGGATTGGAGGCCAGCCTGAGCAATGGCAAGACCCCATCTCTACAAAAAAATTTAAAAATTAGCTAGGTATGGTGATGCACTCCTGTGATCCCAGCTACTCAGGAGACTGGCTGCAGCAGGAGGCGGATCACTTAAGTCTAGGAGGCTGCAGTGAGCCTTGATTGTTCCACTGCACTCCACCCTGGGCGACAGAGCGAGACCTTGTCAAAAAAAAAAAAAAAAAAAAAAAGGAAGGAAGGAAGGAAGGAAAAAAGAAATAAATAATAAAATTTTAGCCAGAGGCAAGAGATTGAAAAAAAAATTAATAAAGTAAATGGCAAGTAGGATGGCCATTAACACTGGCTTGCACACAGGACTCTTCATATAACTGGCAAAATATAAAATGGCTTCGAGATGAAAAAGCAAAGCAAAATCAAAGCACCATTGCTCCGCTGCACCAATTGTTTTTGTTTTTGTTTTTGCTTTTGAGACGGAGTCTCGCTCTGTCACCCAGGCTAGAGTGCAGTGGCACGATTTCAGCTCACTGCAAGCTCCGCCTCCCAGGTTCACACCATTCTCCTGTCTCAGCCTCCCAAATAACTGGGGCCACAGGCGCCCGCCACCATGCCCAGCTAATTTTTGTATTTTTAGTAGAGATGGGGTTTCACCATATTGGTCAGGCTGGTCTTGAACTCCTGACCTTAGGTGATCCACCTGCCTTGGCCTCCCAAAGTGCTGGGATTACAGGCATGAGCCACCGTGCCCGGCCTAATTTAAACTTTTATCTAAACTCTTTAATATTTTTGCTGTGAAATCGCTAGATTCAGAAAGTTAGTAAAGAAAACTGGAGAAGGAGAACTACAGAATAGTAGGGAAGTGTTTCCTCTATGCAAACCAGGAGAAAAAACACATCAATTATTTCGAGCAGATCTTTGGGAGCGTGCGCAACCTATACCGTTCAGCAATAAATTGCAGAAAAATGGTGACATGAAAGACAATTCTGAAAAATGCAAACATTGTCATTTAGAGCCGGACAATGTTGACCATTATCTGAGACCCATGCTCATGGAAAAGAGCAACAGTGACAAGTCCACCACCCGTTTGTTTTCTGAAATCCCCCCACGCTTTTGTGTTCCAGTAAAGTGCCAACCCTAATCACCAAGAACAGTCCTTCCCCATGTGCTTAGATAAGACTTGCTGTCTATTCTTTCTCATAATGCTGTGGGCCTCGTGGATTACTCAGGGCTACCTGCCTTTATAAAACCCAGACCCCTTGTCCACATTGAGGCATTCCTCATTAGTGAGTGACTCCATGTTGCAACAGCCTAAATAAAATCTTCTTAATTGTCCAGTGCATTTTGTCTTTCACCATCATGTAATACAATACATCCTTTATTTTGAACATAAAGAAAGAGGTGTACAGTTTCTCTTACTAGACAATCTGTTCTTTCTGTCCCCACAAAGAAAATATTGAAAAAATATTTTAAAAATGTCCCTTTGGAGGGATGCCAAATATTCACCAGCTGAGGGTACCCACAGCTGGAGTTGCCCTGACCACCTCTCTCAGATAAGAACTGTGCCACAGCCTTCTTTGAATGAAAATTCAGCCCCTTGTGGTGACCAATCAAGGGAGTTTTTCTTTTATTTTTTAAAGCAAAACCTCTCCAAGGGCATGACAGTTTTACATTTCTAGGGAAACCATCATTAATCCAATGCCCAAAGCTGGTTCTTCTCTCCCAGAGCTCCTCAAATACCAAACATCTAACTTTGTTCAGTTTTTTTGGATATTAAGTGGAAGTGTGCATGTGTAGAACCGGTTTTATGCCAGGTGATCAGCTTTTTCATATCATTAATACATCTGATTTCTGATTTATTTTATTACAGTGACCACTCTATGCGTGTCACTTCAAGCCATTATAATAAATCATGGATGGTAAAAATACTCTGAGATGATCACAATTGAATAGCACATTGAACTTTCTCAGCAGGAACACTGTGGATAATGCATGCTTCCGTCTGTCAATGGGGTACATCACTGAATTGTCTGATACTTTCATGTAGCTGTTCCATTCCGGGATTCTTCCATAATCTGCTGGGCAGCCTCAGGCGCTCAACCTCAGGATTTCCCAGAATCTTTTTTTTTTTTTTTTTTTTTGGGATGGAGTCTCGCTCTGTCGCCCAGGCTGGAGTGCAGTGGCCGGATCTCAGCTCACTGCAAGCTCCGCCTCCCGCGTTCACACCATTCTCCTGCCTCAGCCTCCCGAGTAGCTGGGACTACGGGTGCCCGCCACCTCGCCGGCTAGTTTTTTGTATTTTTTAGTAGAGACGGGGTTTCACCATGTTAGCCAGGATGGTCTCGATCTCCTGACCTCGTGATCCGCCCATCTCGGCCTCCCAAAGTGCTGGGATTACAGGCTTGAGCCACCGTGCCCGGCCCCCAGAATCATTTTTCTTTCCCCCATACTGAACCACTGGGGTTTGGGGAGTACGAAATGCTACAATATTGTACATGCATGGTAAGTTCTTCTGTTACCCATCCAAAGGGGATCCAGTTGCACCCTGGGCTGGGGCAAAGGGATCTGGAGGTTGAGCTTTATCAAAGAAGCGGCTGAATCTGGAAAATCAGGGCCAAGAATAAAAGTGTGATTCATCCTGGAAACTGCCTGGGGTCCTCCCTCTTAGTGGGTACAGGATACAGCTTCAGGCTTGTCTAACAACACCTGTTCCAATGGTCGGAGTAGACAGCACACTGACTGCCACAGTCCTGCGGTCTGAAGTTTCCATTTTGCTGGTACTTTGGGGCAGGAGAGCCAACTCCCTTAGCATCAAGTTACTGCATGCTTACCATGGAATGTTTGTGCTGTTGCAGAGGGAAAAAGCGAACTTTGCCCAGTGTCTCACCTATGAGTGCTATGAATGAGACGTTGCTTGGTGTAGCAGGGAGATATCTGAGCTGAGAGAGCTCAGCTCTGGTCTTCAGCTGTCAGTTTGGGGTTGTATGTTATTCTGTTTTCATGCTGCTGGTAAAGACATACGCGAGACTGAGCAACTTACAAAAGAAAGAGGTTTAATTGGACTTACGGTTTCACATGGCTGGGGAAACCTCACAATCCATGGCAAAAGGAAAGGAGGAACAAGTCACATCTTATGTGCAGGCAAAAAAATCAGAGAGCTTGTACAGGGAAATGCCACTTTTTAAAAACCATCAGATCTTGTGAGACTTATTCACTATCAAAGAAACAGCTGAATCTGGAAAATCGGGGCCAAGAATAAAAGTGTGATTCATCTCATAAGACTTATTCACTGTCAGGAGAATAGCTTGCCCCCATCTATCTCATCCCCATCTTGTCCCCACTATCAGAAAGGACTTGCCCCCATGATTCAATTACCTCCCACCAGGTCCCTTTCACAACATGTGGGAATTTAAGATGAGGTTTGGATGGGGACACAGCCAGACCATATCAGATTGGGAGACTTTGGACAAGTCATCCCTTTCCTTCCACCTGTCTTTCTTCATCTATAAAATGAAGGAACTGGATCAAATGAGCTAGGAAGCTCCTTCTAAACCTAGCTCTTTTTTTTTTTTTTGACAGAGACTCACTCTGTCGCCCGGGTTGGAGTGCAATGGCGTGATCTCGGCTCACTGCCAACCTCCACCTCCTGGGTTCAAGCAATTCTCCTGCCTCAGCCTCCTGAGTACCTGGGACTATAGGCGCGCACCACCACGCCTGGCTAATTTTTGTATTTTTAGTAGAGATGGCATTTCACCATGTTGGTCAGGCTGGTCTTGAACTCCTGACCTCAAGTGACCCACCTGCCTCGACCTCCCAAAGTTCTGGGATCACAGGCATGAGCCACCGCATCCCCCAGGCTAAATCTAGCTTTTGCTCATCCATCTTTTTGAAAATGATGCAAAAAGTTTAGTTGATAATGAACTAACAGCATTCTGTCTTGTCTTGTCTTTTTTCACGGACAGGGTCCGTCTGGCTATGTTGTACAGGCTGGCCTCCAACTCCTGAGCTCAAGCCATCCTCCTGCCTCAGCCTTCTGAGTAGCTGAGACTACAGGTAACAGAGTTCTTTCTGATATTAGGGTTAATAGTGGGCCTGGATGTTTCTAGTGAAACCGCTTGTCATTTTTTCACAACATATATATTGAGCATTTACTAGGCACTTGATAAAACAGTGAGGAAAATAAAGATTCCTACCCCACGTGGAACTTACACGCTAGCAGAAAAATGCAGACGCTAAACAATAAACACCATAAAAACAAGCTTATGTAACAGGCAACAGATAATTTGGATAATTTCAGCAAAAGTGCCTAGCCAAGTGGAAACCCCAAACCAGTCTACTATGGAAATTGATTTGAATGCTTTGAATATTTTCATTGCTTTCTTTAACCAACTAACCAGATGGCCCAGCTGTGGGAAGAGGATGGGGCTGGCCAAGAAGCTTGGATTCTTGCCTTAATTACGAGTTTAGTTTGTAAGTAAATAACCAAATCAAGCTGGGTTAAGCAAAAAGGGGGAATTTATGCTAAGAATCCAAGACTGAAAGCTGGACTCAGGACAGAGACTAGGAGACCAGGGGTGCACACTTGTAGAAGGCACAACAGGTTTGTACAAGGGCAGGCCGACACCCAAGGGGAAGACATCAGTTCAGTGTTTAGGGGCTCCACCAGCCTGGTGGGCTCTCCACAGGGGCTGAAACAGCCCTGGACACCTCCAGGGGTCTGGGTGTCCTTCTTCTCCCCAGGCCAGGAGTCCTTCCACCACATCACACCAGGGACATTCAAACAGCTGATATTCCACATTAAGTACATTTCACTATTTATTATTATTATTTTTGAGACAGAGTCTCGCTCTGTCACCCAGGCTGGAGTGTAGTGGCACGACCTCTGCTCACTGCAGCCTATGCCTCCCAGGTTCAAGCAATTCTCCTGTCTCGGCCTTCCAAGTAGCTGAGATTACATGTGCCACCATGCCTGGTTAATTTTTTGTGTTTTTAGTAGAGACGGGGTTTCACCATATTGGTCAGGCTGGTCTCGAACTCCTGACCTCAAGTGATCCACCCACACTGGCCTCCCAGAGTGCTGGGATTACAGGCGTGAGCCACCAAACCCAGCCATTTCACTATTTTTAAAGTTAGAGCTGTTATTATTTGGCTTTATAAATGAATATTAATTTGACTTTGCCATTTTTCTCTTTATATTTGGGGGTCAAAAAATTTTATTTCCAGGATTCAAACATGGTTTCTTTTTTTTTTTAAATAGGATCTCACTCTGTCACCTAGGCTGAAAGGCAGTGGCATGACCATGCTCACTGCAGCCTCAATTTCCTGGGTTCAAGCAATCCTCCCTCCTCAGCCACCCAAGAAGCTGGGACCATAGGTACATGCCACCATGCCTGGCTTATTTTAAAATTTTTGTAGAGATAGGGGGGTCTCACTACATTGCCCAGGCTGGTCTTGAACTCCTGGGCTCAAGCCTTCCTCCTGCCTCAGCTTCGCAGAGCGCTGGGATTACAGACATGAGCCACTGCGCCCAGCCTCAACCATTTTTGAGAGCCCTGGAACTCATACAGGCTCCGGGCCCAGTGTGGCTGGCTGCTCTGAACCTGCCTCTCTCCCAGAGCCTGGAGCTCAGCACACCTGAAACCTTCAGCCAACCCATTCTGATTGCTTCCTGCACCGAAGGGCCTCAGCTGAAATCCATCTCACTGTGGTCTCCGATGGTCAGATTTGATAAAGGGGCCGCGTAGGAACCTGAGCCACCTGGGGGATGGTTGTGAATCTCAAAGCAGACACACGTTCTCCATTAGCGGCCCTCTGAGGAGCCCAATTTCAGCAGAATCATTAAAAGTTGATGATTCTGCAAACGTCTTTTTGTCTGCTGTGGGGTGGCGGAAGCGGGGAAGTGTAGTTTTCCTCTGAAATGATGAAGCCCTAGGCAAAGAAAGACAGTAAGACAATTCCATACTTAACCTTAGAGTGACTGTGAAATTCAACACTGAAGACTTTTAAGAGAGATTCAGGAGGAGAGGAGAGCTCGGGTCACCACTGAAATACTTAAAGGTCAAGAGCTGGGGGAAAAAAACCTCAAGAACTGCATTCAAATTAAATCAGAAGGCTGGGCACGGCGGCTCATGCCTGTAATCCCAGCACTTTGGGAGGACGAGGCAGGCAGATCAGGAGGTCGAGATATCGAGACCATCCTGGCCAACATGGTGAAACCCCATCTCTACTAAAAAAATACAAAAATTAGCTGGGCGTGGTGGCAAGTGCCTGTAATCCCAGCTACTTGGGAGGCTGAGGCAGGAGAATTGCTTGAACCAGGGAGTTGGAGGTTGCAGTGAGCTGAGGTCGTGCCACTGCACTCCAGCCTGGCGACAGAGCAAGACTCCATCTCAATAAATAAATAAATAAAATCAGAGTGCAGAAGACCAGGGCTTAGCAGCATTATTATTATTATTTTTTCCTCAAGAATTGAACCAGTCTCACTGTTTAGGCTTTGAGAGTTGCTTTGAGACATTGAACAACATCATCATGTGTGAGGGCATCCTCCTCATCCAGCCCTGGCTGGGCTGGGGTGCAGCGCCTCCTCTCAGAAGGCCCTCAGCCCCACTTGGGGAGAACTACAAGCTGCAGAACTGCAAAAGGCCCTAGATACACAGATAAGTGAGCAACACGACTGAGGGGCTGCAAGCCCCTTGTAGTCAGAATTTGTGCTTAAGCTGAGCCGGAGCTCCTGTTTCCTGATCCCCACCTGAGCTTTGCACTGACCACCCAAAACATACATGTAAGTTGATTCATTTGGGAAAACTAGAGGCTGGGCATGGTGTCTCATGCCTGTAACCCCAGCACTTTGGAAGGCTGAGCTGGGAGGATCTCTCGAGACCAGCCTGGGCAACATGGTGAGACCCGTCTCTGCAAAAAAGTTTAAGAAATTAGCCGGGTGCCATGGCAGGCACCGATGGTCTCAGCTATTCAGGAGGCTGAGGAAGAATTGCTTGAGCCCAGGAGGTGGAGGCTGCAGTGAGCCATGTTTGCACCACAGCACTCCAGCCTGGGTGACAGAGCAAAACCTTGTCTCAAAGAAAAAGAAAAGAAAAAAAAAAAAAAACCGTAAGTCCTTTCTTTCTTTCCTTCTTTTCTTTCTTCTTTTCTTTCTTTCCTTCCTTTCTTTCTTTTTTTGATGAGGTCGTGCTCTGTCTCCCAGGCTGGAGTGCAGTGATGCAATCACAGTATCGCACCCTTGAACACCTGGGTTCAAGCCATCCTCCTGCCTTGGTCTCCCTGAGTAGCTGGGACCACAGGTATGAGCCACCATGCCCAGCTAACTTTTTTTTTTCAGAGATGGGGTCTCACTATGTTGTCCAGGCTGGTCTTGAACTCCTAATCTCAAACAATCCTCCTTCCTTGGCCTCCCCAAAGTGCTAGAACTACAGGACGAGCCACCTCACCCAACCTAGAAGTGATTTCTAAATTCTGAATAATATTTCTACAATTAATTAATTTGCTAACACAAATACTAGTTTAGAAACATAGTACTTAAAGTTGACTGTTTTTCTTTTCCATAAAAGTACAGTTTATGCTCAGTGGGTTTTGCCTGTTGACCTATTTCTCTCTGGTTATTTGTCACAGACCCACAGTTGATTAACGTCACCACCGGACCTGGGAAAAATGGCTTATGGGCAGTTTCACGTCATAAAATCTTCTTGCTATTATTAAACAGAAAAAAACGCCTGTGAGCTCAAAGAAGGAGAGTGCTGTTCATGAGGTTGGAGGCATTTTGCAATGGGTAGGTCATAGCCGTATGAAATGTTTGCTTCCTCTGTTTCTCTTTAGCTCTTTCCCTGGGCAGTTCTGTGTGTGCCATGCTAATTGTCCTCCCCTGAGAGGAGAAGCTCTAGGGCTCAGGAATGTCTCAGCTTGACATGGGAGGTGTCAGAATAAGGCTGTTCTTGTCCTTCCCTGTGCCCTGAGCATGTGGCCGCATGCCCTCCTCTCTTTTATGGAGTAAAAGAGCTGCGTGTGTGGTGACAAGGACACCTTGGGAACAGGAGGCTTTGATTCCACTCTCTGTTCGCCACAGACCACCAGGTCACCTTGGCAACCCCCTTAGCTTGCATTACTGTTAACTCCGCAGAAGCTGGAAGTGAAGCCGAAGAGGTTCCTATTTCACACGCCAGCCGGCTCAGTGGGGGCAGGGGTGGGGGCGGGAGTGGGAGTGGGAGGGAAAACCTGGGGTTTGATAGCTTCCCACGGTGGGAACCACCACCCCTGACAGGAATCTACCACACTGGAAAACACCTGTGTTCCAGCCCTTCCGTGGAGTCTGACTGCCCTTTCCTCCCTCCTACTTTTTTTTTTTTTTTTTTTTTTTTTTAAGACGAGTGTTGCTCTGTCGCCCAGGGTGGACTGAAGCGGTGCAGTCTCAGCTCACTGCAACCTCTGCTTCCCAGGTTCAAGCAATTCTCCTGCCTCAGCCTCCTGAGTAGCTGGGACTACAGGCGTGTGCCACCACACCCGGTTAATTTTTGTATTTTTAATAGAGATGGAGTTTTGCCATGTTGGCCAGACTGGTCTTGAACTCCTGACCTCAAGTGATCCACCCACTTCGGCCTCCCAAAGTGCCGGGATTACAGGCTGAACCACCGTGCTCAGCCGCCTCCTCCTATTTCTCTGAGTATAGAAACGGAGGGGACTGAGACTAGAGGGAAAAGGGATAACGGAACTTCAATGACTTAAAAGCTGTAACTCCTGTCTCCCTAAAACACATAAAACTAAACTGTAACCCGATTGCCTCAGAACCACTTATTCAAGGCTTCTTGGGTTCATTGTTCCTCCAGACTGCAGTCATTCATATTGGCTCAGAATAAACCTCTTTAAAATATCTTACAGGATTTGGTTTTTCTCTTAACACAGGAGATAGCATCAGATCCCACAGGTTGAGGGCTCAGTCCCCAAAACTGCCCCCTCACCTTCAGACACCAGTGGCAAGTCTGAGCATCTGGAACTTCTGACCAACTGGCTTCAAGTTGGGGTTCCTACAACCCTGTCTTTGAGTTCAATTAATTTAATAGAGTGGCTCACAGAACTCAGGGAAACACTTATGTTTACTGGTTTATTATAAAGGATATTACAAAGGATATAGATGAAGAGATGCATAGTACAAGGTATAAGGGAAGGGGCAAGGGGCTTCCATACCCTCCCCAGGGCACCACCCTCCAGGAACCTTCATGTGTTCAACTTTCTGGAAACCCTCTGAACCCTCCTGTCCTCCTGGGTTTTTATGGAGGCTTCATTACATAGGCATGATTGATTAAACCATTAGCCATTGATGATCAACTTAACCTTCAGCCCCTCTCCCCTTCCTGGAGGTTAGGGGTAGGGCTGAAAGTCCCAACCCTCTAATCCTGCCTTGGTCTTTCCAGTGACCGGCCCCATCCCTAATAGTGAGCTGTCAGTCATCATTAACACACAAAAAGATAGCACTCAGGAGATTTCAAGGATTTTAGGAGTTGTATGCCAGAAAATGGGATAAAGGCCAAATATATATTTCACAATATCACAGAGGGTAAACAGTTAAAGTGATTCATGTGATGTCAGTGACTGGAGTCAAAAGCTAGACTGCTGCAACCAACAAGCCTTAACATGTGATAGTTCAAGGCAGACACTTTGTTTCTCTCACTGATAGTCCAGTGCAGGAGTTCTAGGTCAGTAGAACTCTGCTCCACACAGTCACTCAGGGGCCCAGGCTCCTGGTAGCCCTGCCATCTCTCCTACTTGGCATCTAGAGGGGCTCTGATTAGTACTATCCCTGCCAGAAGGAAGGAGGCAAAGGGCATGGAGAGGCTTTACACACATGAGGGGCTTTACACACCAGGCCTGGAATAGGGACCTATCTTTCATTTCTACTTCCACTGGCAAGCATTTGATCTCATGGCCACTCCAGACTACAAGGGAGGCTGGAAAATTGACTCCAGCCTTGAGTCCAGGTAGAAAGGAGGGCCAGTTTTTGTTGGACAGCCAGCAGTCTCTGCCCTGATGGCTTTATCCAAATGGAAACATTTGAAAGGAAAACTAGATCTCAGAGTTCAGTTTAACTCTCACATGTCCAGGATCTCTCAGACTTCCCAAAGCTGCCAGTAGAGGGCCAGGCTTTCATTCTGAGGATTGCCCCCTCTCCCAGCTTCCATGGATTCTAGAGCAGGGAATCAGAAGCCATAGGACCACATTCGAGGTTTATTCTTTGGATCAAGTATGAGCATCTGTGGCTTTATTTTTAAAGCTAAGTACTTCTTTTTCTGGATGGGCATTGGGGTAAATTGTGCTAGATATGCAGTTAAAGAAAGTACACTCAAGAAATAGATTTCCAGCCAGGCGTGGTGGCTTGCGCCTGTAATCCAAGCACTTTGGGAGACTGAGATGGGAGGATAGCTTGAAGCTGCAAGTTTGTGACCAGCCTGGGCAACATAGTAAGACCTCATCTTTACAAGAAATAAAAATATTAGCCAGGCATGGTGGCACACACCTGTAGTCCCAGCTACTGAGGTAGCTGAAGCAGGATGATCCCTTGACCCCAGAAATTTGGGGCTGCAGTGAGCTAGGATTGCACCATGGCATGCCGGCAGAAAAAAAAAAAAAAAATTCCATTAATAATGTTAAATGTTTTCTTACAGTTGTTGTGGAAGATAAAGCCCAGCCTAGCATATGCTCTTTCAAAGGAAGTTCTCAGGAATATCCTGTATATGGCACCAGACCTCAGACAATTCAGGTAGACAAAAACCCTCATGTGTATCAACCTACATAATGCTAGGAAAAAAATCTTGAATATTCAAGGTCAGAGTATTTTTTAGAGGGTTTCTGTTTTTCCCTTATTTACAAGTTTGGCTTTTTCCTGATGTTCTATCAGTGACTAGAAATTGTATTAGTCCCTTCTCATGCTGCTATAAGGACATACCCAAGACTGGGTAACTTATAAAGGAAAAAGGTTTAATTGGCTTACAGTTCTGCATGGCTGTGGAGGCCTCAGGAAACTTACAATCATGGTGGAAGGGGAAGCAAACACGTCCTTCTTTTGTTTGTTTTGTTTGTTCTCTCATGAGAACAAACTCAGTATCACAAGGACAGCATGGGGAAACCACCCCCGTGATTCAATTACCTCCACCATGTCCCTCCCATGACATGCGGGGATTAGGGGATTACAATTCAAGATGAGATTTGGGTGGGGAGGAAGCCAAACCACATCAGAGATCAATTTTGACTGTTGGAATTTTGGTGACATAGCTGAAGAATGACACTTTTGGACAAGTCTGGGGTTACATCTAGATATTATTTCCAAATTGCACATTATTTCGGGGACTTGTGACCCCTAATATTTTGGCTTAAGATATGGTTAAGAAGTGGCTTAATTTATAGTACTATGCACCTGGCTTCTATCATAAAACTCCATTAAAACCACAGTCTTGACGATTTTCAACTAGTCAGCCTCCATATATCAGGGGATGGATTGCCCAGGCTGTGGGTTGTCTGACTTTTGAAAACTAAAAATAAAATTCTAAGTCCCCAGCCATCTGAATGGATCCTTCCTCTCGACGAAGGGCATTCCAGAGTTAACCTGAAAAACTAGTTCAGGCCATGATGGAAAGGAGGGGTCAGATATACCTCATTATACCCTCCTCCCTTATGGAGTGCAGGCACAGCTGACCAGCATTAACATGAAAACAGATCCTAAGACTGACAAAACAGACTTTTTGTAGTGATAAGAGATATCAAATTCCAGCCTAACTCTAGTATAGCATCACAAGACAGATAAGAGGCCCTGAAAGAAATTGAAGTATTTTACCCCCAAATTATGTTTCTTTGCCATATCTTGAAATAATCCTGCAAAGCTGTCTCTTGTGGGGAAAATCTACATTCTGAAGAGAATCCCCTTTCTTTTCCAGGCCTCTTTCTTGATCCAGGAGAGAATCAACTCTGATAAGAAACATCTACAATCTATTCTCTCTGAAGCCTGCTACCTGGAAGCTTCTTTTGTGTAATGGGAACCTTGATTCCCATTTAGGGGGAACCCAGACATTCCTTTCTATTGATTCTAGATTTTTAGATAATAACCTCTGTCTACCAATTGCCAATCAGAAAGTCTTTGAATCCCCCTGTGACCTGAAAGCCCCACCTTGCTTCGAGTTGTCCTGTCTTTCCAGACCAAATCAGTGTACATACTACATGTATTGATTGATGTCATATGTTTTCCTAAAATGTTTGAAACCAAGCTGTAGCCCGACCACCTTGGGCATATGTCCTCAGGATCTCCTAAGGGCTGTGTCACAGGCTATTGATCACTCATATTTGGCTCAGAATAAATCCGCAAATATTTTACAGACTTTGACTCTTTTTGTCGACACTTTCTTTCTCTATTTTTTCCCTGTGAGGCCATTTTGTGGGTTTTTTTTGTTTTGTTTTTTGTTTTTTGGGTTTTTTTTGGTGTGCTTCACACACATGGAGACCAGGAAAGGCAAGATTACGGAAAATCAGTTCCAACTAGAGGTGTTGCTCATCAGTGGTGAAACATGAGGACAAGGAGGCTGGATCTAATGCTTAAATCACATCCTTGCACTATCCTCTGCACCTGCAGCGTGCTCTAACTTGCGAGTTGCAGCTGTGGTCAGAGCAGCTGTTTTAGGTAAAGGAGTGAGTTTGCTCTGCCTGGTCAGATACTCTCCTGCCCTTTTATCTGTTGAAAAATGCTTTGGAGACCTCATGGGAGAGGTAAAAACACTCAGGTGTAAAAGATTTCTAAGGTTTACTAAATATAAGCCTTCCCAGAGCCAAGTGCTTGTAATCCCTGATGCCTCAAGCAGAAGGACTCAACCTCTGTTCTGGAAGCTGGTGTCTGTAAGTACCAAACTCCCTCAGTTCAGGGAATAATTCATGAGTAGGTTGTTCCTTAAATGCATGAAAATGGGTCTTACAGTTGGCAGCTTTTTCGCCTATGCCTGAGGTGGGCCTCAGCCACAATTAATCCAGCATAAATACAAATTGCAGAAAGCTCTTGACTTCTGTAGGCTTCTCTATGTAGGCAATTTTTTTCGAGGAAGAAGCTTGGGATATAACATCTTACATGGTGCAGTTTGCATGCACAAGGCTAGATAAAAAATGCGTCAACTGTTAAGCAAACAAACAGTTGGTCTTCTTTATTCTCCTTCCCTTTCCTTTTGTTCACCTTAGGCCGCTCAGAGCTTGTCTATACATGTCTTAAACGAGTGTATTAAGGCAAAGGTATGGGTAGAAAGAAAAGGAAAACATGAGCAAAGTGATGAAAAACCAATAGAAAAATTTTGTGGGGAAGTTTTAATGGTTGCCACTACAAGAAAATCAGCTGTAAATCTCTAACTTTTAAAACTGTAACTCTGTTTCCCATAAACAGTTAACTAAATGTTAACTCCATTTTGGCTGGGTGTGGTGGCTTGTGCCTGTAATCCCAGCACTTTAGGAGGCCAAGGTGGGAGGATCCTTTGAGACCAGCCTGGGCAACATACGCGACCTCTCTCGTCTCTACAAAAACTTTTACAAAAACAAAGTTAACTTCATTTAACAATGTTTAGGCAAATTCCACTTAGGATAGCATCAAAGATAATAAAATACTTTGGAATAAGCTTAACAAAAGAAGTATAAGATTTGTATGCTAAAAACGACAAAATGTTGAAAGAAATTAAAGGAGGCATAAATAAGTGAAAGGCATACATATGATCATAGATTATAAGAGTTAATATTAAAATGGCAATACTATTCAAAGTGATCTACAGATTCAATGCAGTTCCTATCAAAATCCTACCTGCCTTTTTTTTTTTTTAATGGAAATTGACAAGCTGATCTCAAATTCCTATGGAAATGCGAGAAACTCAGAGTAGTGAAAACAATCTTGAAAAAGAACAAAGTTGGAGGACACACACTTTTTTTTTTTTTTTTTTTTTTTTTTTTTTTTTTTTTTTGGTTTTGTTTTTCCGGCCGGGGTGTGGTGGGACTCTATCGGCTCACTGCAAACTCTGCCTCCCAGGTTCATGCCATTCTCCTGCCTCAGCCTCCTGAGTAGTTAGGACTACAGGCACCTGCCGCCACACCTGGCCAATGTTTTGTATTTTTATTACAGACAGGGTTTCACCGTGTTAGCCAGGATGGTCTCAATCTCCTGACCTTGTGATCCACCTGCCTCAGCCTCCCAAAGTGCTGGGATTACAGGCATGAGCCACTGCACCTGGCCAGGACTCACACTTTCTAATTGCAAAACAAACATAGCTACAATAATCAAGACTATGTAATACCGACATAGGCATAGACATGTAGATCAATGGAATAGACTTGAAAGTCCAGAAATAAATGTTTTCATTATAGTCAATTGATTTTCAGCAAATGTCCCAAGACAATTTAATGGGGAAATACTCTTTTTAACATGTCCCATTGTTTGTGGGACAATTGAATATTTACATGTAAAAGAATGAAGTTGAACCCCTACCTCAACCACATGAAAAATTAAAATGGGAAAAAAAACCCCATAAATTTAAAAGTTAAAACTATAAATTATTAGAAGCATACATAAGTGTACATCTTCATGACTTTAGGTTTCTTACATGTGGCATCAAAAGTACAAAAAAAAATAGGTAAACTGAACATTATAAAAATTAAAAACATTTGCTCTTCAAAGGACGCCATCAAGAAAGTGAAAAGACAATCCACATGGGAAGCAATTTTTTGAAATCATATATCTGATAAGGAATTTTGTTATCAATGTAACTCCACAAATTCATAAATTGAAGCCCTTGCCCCTAATGTGATGATATTTGGAGTTAGGGCCTTTAACAAGGCAATTGAGGTTAAATGACATGATAAATGTTGGGTCCTAATTTAATAGGACTGGTGTGCTTATGAAATGAGGAAGAGGCTGGGCACAGTGGCTCATGCCTATAATCCCAGCACTTTCAGAGGGAAGGCCGGGAGTAGGGGGTGGATCACTTAAGGTCAGGACTTCAAGACCAGCCTGATCAACATGGTAAAACCCCATCTCTACTAAAAATGCAAAATTAGCCGGGCATGGTGTTGCATCCCTGTAATCCCAGCTACTTGGGAGGCTGAGGCAGGAGAATTGCTTGAACCCGGGAGGCAGAGGTTGCAGTGAGCTGAGATCACGCCATTGCACTCTAGCCTGGGCAACAAGAGTTAAACTCTGTCTCAAAAAAAAAAAAAAAAAAAAAAAAAAAAAAAGAGGAAGAGACACCAGGGGTGCTCAAGCACAGAGAAAAAGGAGGTAATTGTCTACAAACCAAAGAGAAAAGCCTCACCAGAAACAAACCCTGCTGGTACCTTGATCTTGGACTTCCAGACTCGAGAGCTATGCTGTGAGAAAATAAATTTCTTATGTTTGAGCTGTGGTATTTTGTTTTGGCAGCCTGAGCAAATGAGTACAGACTTGTATCTAGAATGTGTAAAGAACTATTACAGCTCAATAATAAAATGGAAACTCAATTTAAAAATGGGTAAAGGATCTGAATAGAGGGTGCTCCAAAGAAGATCTACCAATGACTAATAAACACTTGAAAAGATGCTCAACAACATTAGCTATTAAGAAAACCATAATGGGGTACCAGTTCACATTGACTATAATGGCTATAATCAAAAAGACAATAATGACCAGGCACAGTGGCTCACGCCTGTAATCCCAGCATTTTGGGGGGCTGAAGCAGGATTGCTTGAGCCCAGGAGTTTAAGACCAGCCTAGACAATATATGGAGACCTTGTCTCTATACAAAAAAGTTATTTGCTTATTTATTTATTTATTTATTTATAGACAGTCTTTTTTGCCCAGGCTGGAGTGCAGTGGCACCATCTCGGCTCATTGCAACCTCTGCCTCCTGGGCTCAAGCGAATCTCCTGCCTCAGCCTCCTAAGTAGCTGGGACTACAGGCGTGCGCCACCACACCTGGCTAAATTTTGTATTTTTAGCAGCGATGAGGTTTCACCATGTTGGCCAGGCTGGTCTCGAACACCTGATCTCAAGTGACCCCGCATGCCTTGGTCTCCCAAAGTGCTGGGATTACAGGCATGAGCCACCACACTTGGCCTCTACAGAAAATTTAAAAATTTGAGTGTGATAATGTGTGTCTATGGTCCTAGCTACTTGAGAGGCTGAGGCAGGAGGATCATTCAAGCTCAGGAGGTCGAGGCTACAGTGAGCCATGATCACACCACTGCACTCCAGCCTGGGTGACCCCCCAAAAAAATAATAATAATAAAGGCAATAACTAATTTTAGTCAGGATATGGAGAAAATGGAAGCTTCATACATTGCTGGTAGAGATGTAAAATAATGCAACCACTATGGAGAACAGGGTGGTAGGTAGTTCTTCAAAAATTAAACATAGAGTTTCTATTTGACCTAACAATTCCACCCCAGGTATACACCTTAGAGTAGTGAAAACATATGTCCCCAAAATTCTTGTACATGAATGTTCATAGCAGTATGATGCATAATGGCCACAAAATGGGAACAATCTGATAGAGTTCAGATATATGTCCCTGCCAACTCTCATGTTGCATTGTAATCCCCCATGTGGAAGATATAACCTGGTAGGAGGTCATGAATGGTTTAGCACCATCCTCTTGGTGCTGTCCTCATGTCAGTGAGTGAGTTCTTGAGAGATCTGGTCATTTAAAAGTTTGTGGCATCTCCGCCCACGCTCTTTCTTGCTCCTGTTTTTACAATGTGACACACCTGCTCCCTCTATGCCTTCCACCATTAGTAAAACCTTCCTGAGGCGGCCTCTGAAGCCAAGAAAATGCCAGTACCATGCTTGTACAGCCTGCAGAACTGTGAGCCAATCAAACCTCTTCTCTTTATAAATTACATAGTCTCAGGTGTCTCTTTATAGCAATGCAAGAATGACCTACTACACCATCCAAATGCCCATCCAGTGATGAATGGACGAACAAAATATGACATATGCATACAATGGAATATTATTCAGCCACAGAAAAGAATAGAGTACTACATGCTACAACATGGATAAACCTTGAAAACTTTAAACTAGGTGAAAGAAGCCAGACAGAAAAAGCAACATATTGTATGATTCCATTTATATGAAATGTCCAGAATGGACAAATCTATAGAAAGCAGAATGGAGGTTGCCAGAGGCTGAGGTCAATGGGGAATAGGAGTGACTATTAATGGATAGAGTTTCTTTTAGAATATTTGATGAAAATGTTCTGGAATTAGATAGGGGTGATGGTT